TCAGCAACGTAAGCACGAAGGTATCATACTCCTCATCCGGTAAGGAGCCCAAAAGAATAATAGCCTTGTACTCATCTGTGATCTTCTCATCCACGTTCGCCAAGTCCGACAACAACTTAGTGTAGTTGTTCACATGAGCCGCAAGCGAGGTACCTCTGGACATCTGGAATCTGAATAACCTTCGCAGCAAGTGCAACCGGTTCTCAACACTCTTCGTAAGGTACTTATTGTTGAGAATTTCCCACATCTTCATCGCAGACGTCACCCCAATCACATCGTATTTCAGCTCCTGTTCCAAACAGGACCTGATCACCCCGCAAGCATTTCGATTCATCTTTTCCCATATCGCCTCTTCATATTTAGGTGGCCTCACATCGACCATGATGGTCTCCTCCAGATTTTGAGCATTGAGCGCATCCTGTACGTCGCTCATCCACAAACCAAAATTGATCTTGCCGTCATATTTCACAACACTAATCTTAGTGTTCTGAAAACCCACTTGAACTGTGCCTGTCATCTTGCTGCTTTCACCAATTACTTCACCCATAATCACAACTTCCAAATTGTAGAGAAAGATCCAAACTTTGAAAGAATAAGAAATTACCCAACTGAACCCTAGATTGGATTCCAAATAGAACTCCTAACCACACGAGGAAAGCGAGATCTTCAACGGCAACTTCAAACCCTAACTCCACCAAAGCCTAGAACTCCAAGAACCAAGCTTCAAACTGAATCTTCCTCCACCTAATCCAAAACCTTAGATTTGAATCTGAGCTCTGATACCACTTTTCGCGCGCCTTTGCGGAAGCCTTGCACGAACTCACAACGAACCTGTGATCACGAGTCGAAGAAAGCCAAACTCTTGCACAAATCCAACCAATAAAGCCAAATCAATCCAAACACAGAGATATACGTGGTTCGGCAATTTGCCTACGTCCACGGGGAGAGGATGGGGAGATTACCCTATCACTTGTGTAGATTGTTTATTTTACCCTTGTGTTGTTTATATATCCTTGCATATATAGGATATATCTCATTGTATATTGCTTATCCTAGCTCATATATATTGTTGCATTTCATACTTGCTAGGATAACTTATTAATTAGTTTTAATTGGCATATAATCGGATTAGATTAGCATTAGACCCTAATCACCCCCCCTCTAGGGTCTAACACCAGTCAGTCCGATGCGATGTAGGGCGCCGCCGACGATTGATCTGCTCGACAGGATCTGGAATATGCTGAGAGAGTGTAAACTTGGCAGAGCGAAAATTCACAATTCCAGCACAGATCGTAAGTCGACTCGTGCACACTGGCAAGTCGACTTACCATAAGTCGACTTAGCCTTGTGCATGAGTCGACTTATGCCAGTTTTTCTGGTTTTTCTGATTTTTTTTTTCACAAATGATTTATATAAATAGAGTTATAATTCCCAAACTAATGTTTTAACTACCCGTGAATGGTGTAGATCACTCTTTTCTATAGTGTGCCCTGATAGAATTCTTACTCCAAATCATGGTGACAAACAGACTATAACCATGTGCTTGGAGGTTAATATGGGAAGGAAATGAAATATAAAATAGGAAAATGAAAGGAAAGGTCAAATAGGAAAAGGAAAGATATGGAAATCAGATTAACATGAACATTGTTCTAATACCAATTGTTAGATCAAGAAAACATGAACTTTGGCTTTAAGAGATGAAACTCTAATCAATCCTAAGATTGTTCATGTCAATCTATTGAGATAAAAATATGCAGAACCATGCTTGAATCCATAGAGTCAGATGTGATTCTTAAATATACATCCTCCTTAGAGAAACTCTAGTCTTGCTAAAGACGAGAAATCAAAAAGAGATTGTGCGTAGAGATTTAGAGAACCACAACCCTATTTATAACTGAATCCAGTTATTCATAATTATCAATTTAGTCCATCATAGAATTAACAATTATATTTTGGTCTCTACACATAGGAGGCTTATACTTTAATTATGCATTAAAAGCTCAAACCCTAAATTAGATCACTTTAATGGGTTAACCTTGATTGATAGCACATAATACATATTTAATAGTGGCCCATACATTGTATTTAAATTTAACAATCCCCCACTTTGGCCATATATGTTACTATATAAATATGAATTATGATATAACCTTATGAGCCCATGAATTTTGCTATTATAAACAATATGCATCCTTAACAATCTTGTCTATCAGTTATATCAACATAGGATCAAAGTGATTTTCATTGTATTTGTCACAACTAGACCCATCAATGGTCACGTATATCAATACAACCAACAACACAGATCCAGAATGGATGTGTAGCATGGAAATTTCTTGTGATCTTAACATGTCTATTTTTAACTGGTCCACCTTAAAATCTTAGTGAGATCAAATCATACAAAAAATTAGAGTGAATATAAACTGAATACTTTATACTGCAGTAAATAACTATATAATATCCATAAAATTATAATAAATGTGTCTACAAATAAAAGTATCTAAAATATAAACTCCCACTAAAATGACATATTCTGAAAAGATATGACAAATATGAGCAGTGTGCTCATGAAAGACCTTGGGTGGTAATCTCTTAGTTAGCAGGTCCCCAATCAGAGAGTTTGTCCTAATGTACTCTATACATACAAGTCCACTCTAAACTCTTTCGTTAACAACTAGGAACTTCATGTCTATATGTTTTAACTTCGTCGAGCTCCTGTTATTGTTGGAATACAACACTGTTGACTTATTGTCACAAAATAATTTAAGTGGCCTTTCAATGCCATCCATAATTCGCAGCCCATTGACAAAATTTCACAGGCATATTCTATGATTAGACGTCTCATAGCATGCTACAAATTTAAATGTCATGGTGGATAAAACAATGAGTGTCTGCTTAGCACTCTTTCAAGAGATAGCTCCTCCAGCAAGCAGGTAGATATAGTGTGAAGTAGATTTCATGTTGTCTTGGCATCTAGTAAAATTGAAGTCAAAATACCCAATGATCTCTAACTGGTTTGACCTCCGATACGTGAGCATCTATTCTTTTAGTCTCTGCAAGTACCTCAAGACTCGCTTAGCTGCTTTCCAGTGATCCATTCTAGAATTACTTAAGTATCTACCCAACATTCCAACCACGTATGCAATATTGGGAAGCGTACACACTTGAGCACATATTAAACTCCCCACTGCTGACGCATAAGGAATCTGCTGCACCTCTTTAATCTCAAAATTATTCTTGGGGTATTGATTGAGATTGAATTTATCTCCCTTACTCTTAGGGGTGTCACCTGGTTTATAGTTTTGCATATCAAATCTTTTAAGAACCTTTTCGATATAACTCTTTTGTGATAATCCAAGTATACCCTTCTGTGCTCAGCCGAAGCGACTAATCTACCCCTTATACATTGAGTATAAATACATGTACTATTCTAACATTCAAGGGGTTCACAAATCTGATCCTCTAACGCACACACTGCACAATTACAAGAACACACAGTTCTTCCTTTACCCCACTCAAGTCATCAGCTAACTTGATCGTCGGAGGTACAACGGAGGACCAATCCCCGCCCTCTCACGAATTTCTGTATGTGCAGATTGTTCCCATTCAAGAATCAAACATAAAGTCAGGTAAGAAAGCGACCCATCTTTAATACTGAACAAACCGATCCTATACTGGATGCAATTGACTGTTTGATCATATAAACCATCAATAAGAGCTATTAAGTGTAGCATGTTGTTTGACTCGAATCACTTATAAAATTCGATCCCCAATGCTACACTTGAGTTTTTTTGGACTTATTTATTTAAAATATTTTATCACACACCCACCTACCCGATGTGGGACTCAATTTCACTTATGGCATCACTGATATAGCTCATTTCTTCAGTAAGTGGATTCAAACTCAAGCCATACGGTTTCAATTCAGTTCCGTTTTGACCAAATTTTACAAGCCTACGGAACCGATTGACCGTTTGATCACCCTCACTAGTAAATATAAGCAAGCATGTTATGTACTTGTGATCCAACGTCCCATCGTACGGTTTCTTTTGTGATGTTAAAAATGTTAGTTCATTTTATGACGCTTCTTTTCGTTTGAGGGTCTGTTTGTTTGCTCAAAAAACATCAGAAATGTCCTGCCACCTTACCTTTCAAGAAAACCCCCATGTGCCACATGGGTTTTTGTTTTCAAGAGTTTTCTATTTCTCATGTTTGTTTCATTTTTAAATTTCAAGAAATGAAATGACACATAGGATGCCACCTCACATTTTCAAGAAATGTGTTTTCACAACAAAAACATGTGAAAACACTAGGAAATGTCACTTCAGAGAGTTATTAATGGGTAAAAGCACTGTTTGAGAGTACCATGATGAATAAAACCTATTATTTAATGGGACATTTCTCTTTTCCTTTTTCTTCTTCTCAAACAAACAAAATAAATGGAAATTAAAAGCACTGTTACTATGGAGGCTTTTTTTGTTTTTTGTGTGACTTGGCAGTGAGAAGAAGAAGTTTCTTTGCGAAACAAACAAAAAAAACTAGGAAATGTCTTGAAATGGGTTGAAATCATTTGAAAAGAGGGTTTTCCATTTCCCTTTTTTTTTTTTTGAAATAGCCAAACAGATAAGAAAAGAAAATCACCGATACTTCATACCTCGATGGCCAAAGAGAGAAATAAAATATTTTGAAATGTATTGTTTTTTTATATGCATTTTGTTATTATATTTTTTTAAAGACAGAATTCCTTGAGCATTAACAGCAATAAGTTAAAATTTGCTAATCTCTTTTTTTTTTTAAAGCAAAAAATCAGGCAATAAATAAAAATATCCCTGCGCGGTTTATTGTACTTATTGCCTATTTTCCTTCAGAAAAAAGTAAATAAATAAACAAATAAAAAGGCCTATTACTCTAGGCTCTACTAGTGATCTTCCTCCATGGAGTACTTTCGAGTTATCAAGTGCTTTATTAACAGACCGTGAGAGTCTTCAGGCCCTGAAATTCCATAAAAGCATATTTTTGATATTAAAATTTGGTACTTTTACTCCTGAAGCCGAAGCTCTTACCTTGACGACCGTGTTCCCTAATTCTTCAATGAAAGCTAACAGCTGCTTCGGAAGACAGAGGAGTACTGGTTTAACACGTGCAGCTAAACCCCGAAAGGAGATGAAAATGAATTAGAGATACAAAGAATACCTAACTAAAAAGAAACAGGAGCTAGCATGTGATCATCGAGTGACGGCCGGCCTGCTTTATATATTAATATAGATTAGTGACTTGCAAACTAATATATATATATATATGATGGGTGTTCCCCTTAGATGTACGTAGGTATTCGATCACCAAGTTTAATTTCCAATTAAATATTTAGCCCCCCCTCCCCCTCATTTCTGCATGTAATGTATGTCTATTCATCGATCCGGCCCTTCTCATCAATTAATTAAGTAGAGTACATTCCGACTCCGAGAAAATCAATGAAAGAAGGTGCTTCAAAAGGGGCGTCATCAAGCGACGATACCGCTCCATTTTCAATACTACGGCCTGAGGTTGTCGCTCCGCACGCAGCTGCAGAAGCGTCATGAGGTGATGCCGCCGGGTAATAACTACTAAAAGACTGCTGCGTCGCGAACAGGTGAGGAGCAGCTGCAGCTGGTGTTGTCGTTTGGGTAGCACGACGACCGCTGGCCGTCAACGTTGAAGACACCCTTCGAGGGAGGGGAGGATATTCTCGTCTTCCCACGGGCCCTTGTTGTTGGACCTGCAATAGTTAACCAAAAACCACACCATCATTATACTTTGACTGCTACTACTAGCTAGTGCTAGCGATCGAGAACAAGCTAATTGATTAACAATTAAGCTTAATATAACATTATTTTTTGTTCCGATCTGCTTTGCCTGCGCGCTAAATGTGGAAATATGCACATACTTTTAGGGAGCTTGCTCTCGTTCGTTCGTTCGTTCGTTCGTTCGTTTTTTTGGTCCCCCCACCCCCCACCCTCCTACTCGTAGCAACACAGCGTGGTGCTATGTATCACATGAAAACTAACTAGCAAAAGAATGAATGCGAGCGAGTTCGAGCTTTTGTGGAGGTTTGTCAAGTACGGTTTGGTGTGGCCGTGTGGGCAAGCTTTCTCTGCTATCGGTTTCCTGGCAGGATCTAGTTTTCAGCAATTCACTTGCTATTTTAGGCGAACGTTTAATTTACGTTTGGCTCAGACAGCTGGAACAAAAAGTTCCAGATGCGCGCAACGTGCTCGTTATTTATTGAAGTTCAGAGAGAGAGAGAGGGGGGCGATGGACGGAAGAACAGGATTGATGATGTGCACCAGGGACCGTAATAACCGGCGGTACGTAGCATATACAAACGGAACAGATATCGCGTAATTACAGCAGATAATAAGAGGAGAAGGGCAGAGGTACACACCGGGTGCTGACAGTGATAGGAAATCAAAAGGACTCTGCTGTGCACAAGCTAAGTACCCATCCTGATGATGGCTCGATGAAATCTGCGGATTATCTCTTCCTTCACCGGTCATCAAGTGATTCGAGCCCAGATCAAGGGCAGCAGAATAAGAGAAACAATATCGAGAGGTGCCATGATCCTCCACCTCGTGATCTGCAGCAGCAGCAGCCTCCTGATCCTCCGCCTCACGATGGCTGGCGAGTACTAGAGACGATGTCCTCCTGATCCTCTGGAGATGATGAGATTGGGGGAGCTTCCTCCTCCTGTAACCGCTCGACTGTTCCCTGTATTTCCTGGCCATGATCACGTGCCAGTGATTCTTCACCGCGTTGTCGGTCCTCCCGGGGAACAGCTTAGCGATCATAGCCCATTTGTTGCCGTACAATCTGTGAGCAGCCATCAGCTTCTGTTCCTCCTCTTCGCTGAAAGCCCTCCTGTTGATCCTTGGGTCCAGCTGGTTGAACCATCTCAGCCTGCAGCTCTTCCCTTTCGTCCCCATTATTACATTCCGATACAAGTTTTAACCCCCACCGCCAAATAAAATTATAAAAAACAAACAAACAAACATATATATATATATATATCAGACAATATTCTACAAAATAAATAACTAAATGAACTCTAGGAGATAAATAATGACGACGACAAAATTAAGGAGGGCGACACTGTAGCCACAGTTCTACCTGATCTTCCTTCAAGCTTCTCAGCAATGAGGTTCCAGTTCTGAGGGCCGTAGAGAGCTACAAGTTCTCTGAGTTTGGAGTCTTCAGCAGGCCTCCAATGTCCTCTCGCACACAGCTTAGACTGGCCGCAGTCGCCAACAGACCGACCCTTCCCGCCAAACGGTCCTTCGTTC